CTAACACGGGTTTTATAACGGGTTTAATTACCCGGTTGACCAGCTCAGTGAAACCGGCAATATCCGGTTAATCCGCAGTAATCTCGTACGGGTTGTCTCACAAATCACCGGCAACCAAACTTTAAGCCTTTTTAATACCCTAAAGGCTAAATACTACTACACAGTTGGACAGTTGGACTCCACAGTTGATAGGCTGACACGTGTACGGGATCGGTGCTGTTGTACTAGTTTGATGCCTTGACGTCGTTTATAATGACGCGATTTTATTTGTTTTTGCGGGATTAAAATTGGTTTGTTCATTATCCATGTAAATCAAATGAGTAGATTTCAACATTGTGTTGGGTGTGAACGCATTTCTTTGGAAATTTCAGTTTCTTTCTATTTTATTTATTTAAAACACAATCAACGTGAAACTTTTGATAAAGCTCACCAGATACATATATCTATCAATATATAATTATTAATTAAAATGTTCTTCAAAATGTTTAGTGTCTTGAACTGAAACATACTAATCGTGAAGATAGCCGTCAGATGGATAAGAGCTTTCTCTACGTACATATTAATAATAATATCAGATGCTCATTTCCAATTTCAAATGTTAGAATTAAATGGAACTCGATAATATACGGAAGGTTGTAGCGTCGGTGGGAGACAACGATAGTCAATAAGTAGTATACTACCTTTTGAGTCTTTGACCGATTTTCGAAGTTATCTCAGAGGTTTTCTCTTTTAGCTTGGCTATTTTTTTTTTTGCATGATGAAAAAATACATTGTTTCCATCATGAAACCTGTATCTTCTCTATTTTTTCTTTCTTTAACTTTTCTCAAAATTAGATATCTTATTAAGGTTAATGGTTTGGGCTATCTAATATATGCTCATAAAAATAGATATGTAAAAATTAAATATTATTAATTATTTTCTTATATTTATAAGTGTTTGCAAGTGTGTATTTATTTTTGCATTAAAATTGAATAGTTTAGTGGTTTTTTTGCTAACCTATATTTTAGTGTTTTATCAGAGTTAAATGAATTAATGATACGTCTCAACTTTATAATTTATTTATTAAAAATTTTTTATCTCCTATAAGGTGATTTTTTTTAAGAAAGCTTATGTATCTTTACTAGAATCACTTTTCCAAAATTTATTATAACATGACATGACATTTTCTAAAATATGTTATGGCTAAGTTTAGGGTGTCTGATTAGGTTTAACAGTTACGGGTATGGCCCATTAGTTTTGATTAGGTTTAGGTGTTACGGGATTAGCCCATTAGTTTTGTTTAGAAAGGGCCTATGCCAAGCCTAATCCAAGATTGCTTGGCTACGTCCACTATTATATAGTGATTGTATAATCTAAAATTGATCATATTTATCCCACCAATTTAGCCCACTAAAATTTATATTCACGAAAATTAATCTCACAAAACTATTTAAATTTAGCTCACTAACTCAAAAACTAAAACCACAAAACTTTTGTGAGAAAACTAATTAAATTTTTATTTTAATTAGCCTACTAAATTTATACCCACAAAAATTAATCTCACAAAACTACTTAAACTTATCAGATTTTCATTTTTATTCTAAAATTATATACAAAATTTTTGTTTCTCATTAAAAAATAGTTTCGAAACTGATTATTGTAATAATAAAATTATAGAACATTTCTATAAAATAGATATTCTTTTGAAATTAATAATAAAGATTTACCAAATTTTTAAAAGAAATTTTGATATGTTTTATGAAAAAAATTCCCAAATTTATAACAACAAATTATAAATATAATTATTGTTTTTAATACAACATAATTTGAAAGTAACAAAAATATTATTTAATACGAAAGTAAGAAAAAAACATTTTTAATTCGTGTTTCATTTATAAAATTTATGCTTATATATTTTAATTTTTTAAAAACTTTCGTAAGTCTTTTTGTATTTTAAATTCTACTTAAGATATTCGGATAAACCAAATTTAACATAATTTATACTTATGATACAATTTAAATAACGAAAAAGTTGACACAACAACATCAATAGAAATGGAGAAACTTTTAGAAACGACAAAATCTTATTAGGTTATTGCGATATTAAATTGGATCCAATGACCAATTCAATTGTTTATTGTTAATTGAATTATAAATGAAGTTATTATAAATATTATTAATGAAAATAGAATTAGTCAACAAACGAAAAAGAAAAGAAAAAAAGGATATTACTTCATATAAAGAAAACTGAATTTAAATCTAAATTGAACATCATTAGCAATTTTTAACAAAGAAATAATACTTTTCTTATTTATTTAGTTTTTAAAAAATATTTAACTGTTTATAACGCGGGGGAATTATCTAGTAATTTATTTTGAATTACTGGATAAAACAAACCCAAATATTTTGAATTTTATATGATCAAAAATAAAGTTGGGTCAAGCCGAACCTATATCCTAAGACTACTAGACCTAACCCATCATCCACAACCAGCCCATTACGCACAACTGAGGTTTTACCACAAACCAGCCCAATAAAAAACCGGCCCAACCAATAGCCGGCCCACTACTTAAACCGTTTTCAAATCCTGAACCTAATGTTGAGGCAAATCCTAGCAGCACAGGGGCGTCGCCAAAATACGTCATCGTTGCTACAATCGACGACACAAGAGCACCGTGGCGACATAGGAGAAGAGATCTCTAACAGATCGGAAAGTCAGACCTTAAAAA